TATTTATGGAATGATTCTCTTTCTGGGAGCTATGCATGAGGTACTTTGATTTCTAGCTGTTACTAATATCTCGAATACTGCTTTCATTGCTGCTATCTGCCACATCCCTTTTCTTTCACACAATCCTATCCTCTCTTTACTAGTATACTGCTAATTACCTTCTAATATACACCTCTTGCTCCTTCTCTGAGCTTCTCTTAAGTTCCCTTTACTACTTTTCAATCAATCAATCTCATACCTTCTTCTGATCACATGCTCCAAACGCTGCTCCAGCTAAACATATTATGTTGTACAAGGATACTGAAAAACCTCCATAACATTCCATCCCTCATATAAATCAAGCACTCATAATCTTGACAAATAGGAAACCGGTGCGGGGCTACCTCGGGAAGCTTCTGGCATACCTGAGATGAGTTAATATGACTTGGGCTATCAAGTACTACGGATGCAGTGCCAGTGATTTTCAATAAGTAGTATGGAAAGAACATGTAGAAACCTGCTATACCCTGTCCCTTATAGAATACCTGGCTGAGTAAAGAATACCTTGGTAAATATCTTTTCCACATTTATTAGAACAATATCTTGCCTCAATTATGTATGTATTAAGTATACAAGGTATGTCAGATCCTTCTACCAGGGACCTTAAACCTTTATCCTACTTATATATAAAGGCTTCCATGGTTGAAATTTTGTGCCAAAGGATACAGGTTATAGTTTAATATAAACAGGACCTAGATTAAGCAAATTGAACAGTTTGTATACTGGCACAGGATTGCAGCAACTCCCCAGCTGAGGGACAATACCAGGAAAGCAAAATAAGTGGTCTCAATAGCCAGAGAAGCAGAGAATGAAAAACCAATATTAGTAGATAACAACTATATTGTTTGTATTTTATATCTCTTAGGAATCTGTTTCACAGTTAGCTCTTCATGATATCTCTTCAAATATATTTACATGATAATATTATATATACAGCTACTAGACAAAAGTCTTAGCTATAGCTGAGTCAGCCATGGCTCAGTGAGGATAAAACACCCCTGCTCAAAATCACTTGATTGTACTTGTTTCTGCTTTCTGTATATTGTCTATCATCAGAGTGCTTTCTAAAACAGATAGTCTAGTAACTTCAATAGAGGACAAGTTTCCTACAAGTAATGGTTGTAGGACTTTTATTTGTCTTTAAACTCATTTTGACTACCAGCATCCTCATTACTATTTCTTGTTACTATTTCTTGTTGACTGATATCCTACCACAATTCTTTCTTGTTTACAGTTAACTATTTAATCTTTTCTCATACAAGCATGAGTTTATAGATCTTATACTGGAATCTTAAGCTTGTTGTCCTAAGTGAGGTTTTATAGATATCTATCAGCTTCATTAAGAAATTGTGTGTAGTGATACAGTTTATAAGGGGTGGTGTGGCAGAGGCACAGCAAAGGTCTATGCAGTACCTCTAGGTAGAGTTCGTTAAGGGGCCTCCAGGGCCCCGCGAAACACGGGCCCCCGGCCCCGGCCCGCTTGCCGGCCCAGGGCATGGCGTTTTTGGAGGCTGGCCCTGCCCCGTGCCCCGCCCGTGGTCCCGCCCCACCCATGCCCCAGATGGGTCCCCGGCAAATTTGAGTGGGAAGATATGGGGCGGGCCCTGGAGGACCGCCAAAATACCCCCCCACGCCCGTGTAATGGCAGGGCCCACGAGGGCAGACCCCGCCCTGCCCCACCCCGTAAGGAACACTACCTCTAGGATCTATAAATTTACAAGTGACTATTCATGATTTATTATTAGCCTTTTTGCAAATAACTTTCAGATTTCATTTTCCCCAATATTACTTAGCTAGCTATTCAACTACTGCTATGCTGGCAAAGTACTTCTTCTATGCACAAACTTCATCTCACTGGTAGTAATCACTAGCGCTATTGTCTAGTAGCTGTACTTTTTTCAGTAAATTATAATCAAATATGTTTACTTTACAGTTGTGGATAGTTTACGTCTTTGAGCTGGAGGCGTAACTCAATTCCTAATTCCCAGGACTCTCTTGTCGGTTCTTGGTTCCCTCACTCTTCCTGTTCCCAGAACACCTTCATTTTCATTACCCTTGTAGGATGGGCTCTCCTTTCCCCACCACACTCCCTCCTCATTGGCATATCCTACTTTCTCCTTCTCTCCCTCTCTTCTTTCTGTCCTCCAAGGTTCTACTTTCTTCACCCAGCTGCACTTCTTTAACCCATCATCTTCTATCCTGCCCTCTCCTGCCTTGCACTACCTGGTCATGTGATGTCAATCTAGACTACATTTGTAGAAATTCATATCCACACCCTTCCATGATCCTTGATGCGATCAACTCACCCCAAATCTTTTCCAATCCTTCCACACCTGTGGAAGAGCCTCCAATTCATGCACGGGAGCTACATGAACAATGTAGTTACTGGGAGTACCTGTGCTGTACAGTGGTTTTGGCGTTGTTACCTAGAAACCTACTAAGAGTTATTAAAGTTCACGTTTGGGCAGGCACCAAGTGCATTTGGGCACCCAGGTCTCCAAGCGTTTTGGCCTAGTATCTACTAGTGAAATTTGCCGCCACTTATGTCTGGGGCGCAAACTTTCTACTGCACCCGTATTGCTCTACGCTAACTCGCGTTGGCTCCTATCGGCCCGTTATTGACTCTGGCTACCCAATTGGATCGCTGGCCGCCACTTGCCCTTTGCTGGTGTAAGAATTACGAGCTATTCCCCATAGTTCTTCCCATCAGGGTTAGCGGGGGTTCGGACAACCGTTGTCCTCTGAGCACCAAACAGGGTTTCCTTGCCCGCGCGTGACTTGTCCCCACAAACTTTCATCTCTTCTTCTTAGAGGACTGGTAGAGGCCAGGTGGCCGTGGGAGTGAGATTGGGTACTTAAAATCATCTTGCTTCCTCGCTGCTTAAGACATATGGGAACGATAAACCGATAATATCCGAACCTGGTCATACCTGCTACAGAACATGCGTGAAATATTTGGTTTGTTTACAAAACCCTAGAGTCTTATGATGTGGTCCGGTTCACTGACTGTGTGCGCATCAACATTGCAGTCGTTCTTTCCAAACTATTCGGAGTCACAGTCTGTGGTTTTCTGGGGGGTTTACTTGGTGGTTTAGTGGGCACTGGCTTCCTAGACAAAATGGAGACCCAAGCTCACGCCTTGGCCACTCCGTCTGTCTCGGCAATCCACAAAGCCACGAACACCCAATACTCCCAGAAAACCCGATACGCCGTTAAGGAACTAACCACTGAGTTGGGCATTTGCCAGGCCTCCGAGAAAACTCAGGCTCAGAGAGTAATTGAACTAGAGAAGGCATTACTGTCTTACGCAAATTCGTTTGACCGCATGAAGGTGAGGAGACAGACTGCGAAAAGAAGCTAATACGCTATTCGCTCTAATGGAACACACAGCTCGCCGCGGAAACTAGTTTCGTCCAGGCGAAGGAACTATTGACTGAGTTGCGCATTTGCCAGGCCTCAGAGAAATCTCATGCCCAGAGAGCCATGAAACTTGAGGAAGCCCTAGTAGAGCGCTCAAAACGCTCAAATGCCATTTCAAACAGAATCGCGGGGAGCCGAAAGAAAGAGAGAAGCTAATTCACGAGTTGCGGTGATTGGGTGAGCGCTCCCCCCTCCTCGGAGTTCTTATGGCGCCAATTGTGAGCGTGCAGATGTTGCTGTTATCCTGCTACAGGTGCATGCAGTACTAAATGTTTATAGAAGAATCTGACAGTAGCTTTAAATCTGTAACTTTAAACCTGTAGGTCAATTGTTTAGAGCATGGCAGTCTAATCATTCTGTGGTACGATTTCACAATGGGATAAAACATACGGATATGTTTTCTCACATTATGCAGTAGGATAATTAAATTTTTATTTCTTTTATTTCATTCAAGTTCTCTAGTCCTAGTAATGTGAGTTAATAATTGTTCAGGGTTTTCTGTACTCAGGTACACTTTGGTCATTATGCAAGGATGTGCCTATTTATATAACTATCATTATTTTGACTAATATAGATTCCTCCAATGTGTGCCTATGCATGCTAATAAAAGCCTGGTCGTGTTCACAAACATCACGACATTACCTGTACAGCTCCTAAGTTTTGTATGTTCTACAAGCAAGGGGTACCGGGCTAGCGAGGGTATTGGCGGCAAATTGGGCAATTTCCATTGAAGATGTCCTAATCTGTGCTAGAGCTTTCCTAATTTGCGTTCCGTACCCCCCGCCAGCTGAACACCCTTCCTTGTGGGGTATACAAAGCTTGGGATCTGTACCTCTGTAAAGTGTGTCTTTCCTTCTGAGGGGTGGGTGTTAGGGTGTGGATAAGACATTAGACTAAATTTTATGAGATGATTTGGGTGCAGTTTAGGGAAAAGGAGTAAGATTGCTTTTTAGGAGTTTTGAGTTATGAGCAGTTTTAGTTTGCATAGCAACCAGGACACTTTTGAGAAAAAGAGAAAAATGCTTTTTGACAGAAATTAAAATAGTCCCACCACCCATAGAGTAAATAATATCAAAATACAAATAAAAATCACTTAATTTGAGGCTTTAATTCTATATAAAAAGTTTTTCTTTTACATAAACTTAATAGGATCAAATTAAGATTATTTATTAATATTATATATTAAAGAAAGGTTATAAGACTGAGTAAGCAAAACTAATTTGGATCTTAGTCTTTACTCCTAGACACTTATCATACTTCAACTTTTGTTGCATTTAATTTTCTTCATACAGGTTTATAATGTCCGTTAATTTTCAGGAAAGTGAAAACATTTTAATAAGCTTTATAATAACTACAGATGCTACTCTTGAAAATATTTGAAATTTCACATATAGGTACATTCAAAGATTGACTTTAATTCTATGTAAAAAAATTTAATCCTAAATTTCAAAATAGTCATTACAGGTTCAATATTACCTCAATTTTAAAATTAAATATATTTCAAGAAGCCCAGGGGGTACTCTAGCTTCTGCTAAATCCATAGAGCCATTAAACATATTTTGTAGTTGTTGGCAATCTCGACCTTTTCACATAAACGCACCCATTTGATCATTCATTTTGAAAGTATAATAATATAGTACATAATTAGATAATCAGGGGGAATATTATCGCATCCCGCAATCCTTTCGGGTCGCCGGTCTATCTGCTCGAGTAGTCCCTACATCTAGGGTGGACAGATGGACCAGAGCGTTCGGACCGTTAGAATAGCCCTTTCTTATTTTTATTTTATTTTTTACAAATATTGGCCATCATACTGGCGACTTCAATGGTTATGGGATTTTTGCCTTATGGGGGATTTCAATGGAAAATTGGGGTTGGGAAACTTTTGTAATCACGAATGCCCCAGCTTTCCCCGGGTGTAAATGTCACTGTATGGAATTGGAGGTGCCTGTTATTGACTTTCCCAGATAACCCTATGGTACTTTTAGTTGCCTACTCGTAGACATTTAGCAACGGATAACTAGTGTACAATGTGAGTCCTCCCAGTGGTGGGGACCCCCTGAGAGGCAGAGGCTATAGTAGGCTCTTGAAGACAAAATATTGGTGGATTGTGACAATTTTTACCTCGTACAAAGCTCCCCAGGCGCTGAAAGGGATGAAAAATGAAAAATAGAACAAAGAAGAAATGTTTGAAAAACGGGGTAGATGCAACTGTGATTGAGAGTATTAGTAGTCAAGTACTCCGGATCCAGAAAATCCTGGCACATCTTACATTAGTATCCATTCCATCGTTGGCTACCCATCGCGACGCCGCCGAACTACTAGCCTTATGAACGGAATCTTTTTCTCCCTGGGGCCACTACCGCCCCCGCTCTTCCTCTTGGAGCCGTGAGAATTGGGGGGATCCTGAGGCTCATCATCGTAGTCCACTTCGCTCTCGTCTTCAGTGTCCTCGCTTTCGTCGTACTCATCCGACTCGCCCCCCTCCTCACTCCTCTCGCTGTCCCATTCCTCCCTTACCCCATCACTCTCCAACAAGCCCACATCAGCCTTCCACCCCTTCTGACCCCAGACCACGCTTCTGTACCTTTCCCTGAGCTGCCTGCAAATGTTTTTATTCTTGGAAATCTCCAGAAGTATAATCTCCTTCAGATCCCGAGCCAACGCTTCATACTCAGGAGACCGCCGCCTGAGCCACCTAACCCTCCTCGAAGCAACTCTAATTCTCCAGACCCTGAATTCTATTTCCCCTGCCTTCTCCCGCTCATCCTCGTTCATGAAAAAGTCATTCTCACGTTTCTCATATATTTCTCTCACCGTGTCAGCAATTCTCTTTGCGCAAATAGCCAATGTTTCAAGGCGAAGCCTGTGGGCGCGCAAGCTGCGCTTGAATGCGCGAGTTTGTTTCTGCTTCTTTGACCGAGGCTTCTTGTTATTTGGTTCTGAGCACAAGCGGGTGAGAGTTTTCTCCAAACTCTTGAGCGACTGAGGTTTGGTGTTGAACTTGTTTTTTTCAAACACTGCGGCTTCCGCCCAGAGGAATTCGTGCCCTTCTAAGCTATCGGCACAAATGCTTGGGACGGCCGGATACACCCCGGGGGGCCAAGGTTGTGCATCATGGAGGGGGTAGCCTAGAGAAGAGTTAATTTATATATCTATTTGTATATTCTTTTTTACCGAAGGGGCTCATTGGCAAATACGGAGTGTTGAACATACTCGTCACATGTCCGTCCAGCCGATCCTTCAAGAATTTTCCCACGTCCATGTCGAAAGCTGTTTTTTCCGACGGCATGAAAACAGAATCTTTGGGAGAATTCGCAGGACCTGAATCACCGGAACCGAGGGCCGTTGGATCGGCGGCGGGAGGTTCCACTTCCTCCTTCGAAATGTCCATTTTCCCCAGGGCTTCAGAGATCCCACTCCATGCAGTTTCCGATACGGTAGCCCGCAGGGGTTTATCCAAAGGCGTCTTGTCATTGGAGGTCTCTGGAGGTTCCACTGAGGAGGTACCGTTGATTGGCACCCGTGCAGAGGAATCAAGTAGAGAACCGCTACTACCGATAGTGGACTGCTTGCGTCCGGACATACTCCCAGTCATCTTTCGAGTACTCATTGCATGCGGTGTCCTTGTCTTGTTGTACAGCGGCATTGGTTGAAGTGGTGTTTTAGTTTTGGTCAAGGTGGCGGTATAATCCCAAGTTTAAATTGAGGGGAGGGGGGGCAGCCCCCCAGTAAGTAGAGGTGCCAAACGTTAGGGCAACTTCTTATCATGGTATCTGTTGTAGGGCATAGGCCGGATATGGATATCATACTATGGTGATAGATATTATGAAGTGATATACGGGTTTCTCCCCTGGTTTTAGGGTTGAATGGTAGGGTGCGAGAGCTATCCAAAGCCCTGTTTAGTTGCGATCTCCAAAACCCCTTCCGTTGTCACATACAAATGACCGTTTCCCTTCCGTTCTAAAATGGGAGGGCGGAATGGCTGTCTGGCAACCCTAAAAGGCATCGACCATTCTATTTCAGAACGGCCCTGAATGGGACCATCGCAACCAAACGGGGCCTAAGATGCTCGAATACCATATCTCCTATGCTATCATACGATGGTATGGTTCAAGACCTACAAAACGTGTACCAGACCTGTCAATTTCAAATCCTTAAGGGTTTGTCAGGGTGAGAGCAAATTAAAAAAAAAACCTGTTTCTGAAAGAGGAGATGAAGGAGAATTATAAACAGGTTTTTTTTCTCATATGCACTTACCCCTATAAAGCCTTAAGGATTTGAAATTGACAGGTCTGGTACACGTTTTGGAGGTCT